CTCTACCCGTTACTCATTACGGTCGCTAAACCTCCACTACTTGCATAATGGTGCCATTTGGGCCCATCACTGTGTGTATCTGTAGTAGAGGAGATTGAGGTAGGATAGGAGCAGCTTAGACTGAAGGCCTAGTCAACATGACCTTGTTCGTTGGGATAGAAATATTTTCTGTTAGAGTTTGATCAATGGGTTTCGAAGAGGAGACCTTGTTAGGATCATTGGCCGCTTTCGGCCCAGTTGATTCTTGGTATTGTTGACCGGGCCCTGGCTCTAAAACTCCATTAGCCATTGGCTTATCCCCCACCTTTTCCTTTCCTTTCCTTATTTCTTCACCTCCCTTCTTTCCATTGTTCCCCTTCCTTTCCGGTTTTGCTGACCGTTGCGAGGAGGTAACATCTAGGCGAGCCAAAAGAGGAAACCCCTCTCCACTTTTCATACGTTTCCCATCTCCTTTCCCGTTTTTGATCGATGAACTGTGATTTTGTCGCCCCGAATCTGCCTCTAAGTTTTCTTTTTATACATTTTCCCATGATGGGCGCCTGGATTTTTGAGTGACTAGCATCCATGGCCCAAAACCCGCAACCGTCTCTGATGATGTCTCTGGCGGAACTCCACCAGTGGGCAGTATATCGGCGCCGGAGTTGCGGGCACGACGAGGATGAAAGTCCAATATTCCCACATTCGAAGCAAACAACCGGAAGATTCTCATATTCCAACTTTTGCTAGGCTTCATCCAGCCAGATTTGAGGAACCAAGTGCCTTGAGAGGTCAACTTCCACTGCCAGACGAGAAAACTTAGCTCTCTGTTGGGTAAGGGTGTGGTAATCCAGCTTGATAGTCCGGCCAATTAGATTACCTAGAGTGGTGAGAATTTCCTTGTGGTAGAAATGGATCTTGAGGGTTGGTAGTTGCACCCAAACGATCATCTTTCTCGGCAGCGCGTCAGAGACAATAAAATTGGGAGTCCATTGTTGTACCACCAAGTAGTGATCGAAGATCACCCATTGGTCGTCCGTTAGCGCCCGGAATTAATCTTGCTCATTCGCCATCTTGATAAGAAAATAATAGTGATCCAGATCCTTGATCTCCATCGAACGTGTTGGTCACCACAAAGACCGAATCCGAGAGCAGAGCATAGAGAAATCAATTTTGAGTTCGAGCAGCCTTACCACCAGAGTGCGCTGCTAGGGGGCGCAGATCTTATTTTAGAAATCTGATGATATACGCAGCACCGACTCCCCATCTTCTTCCCCGGGGATGAGGTCATGATCACCCACCGGTGTCCAAGTTGACACTGGATTTGGTGGAGGTGATATGTCTTTCAGCCAAGTAACCGCCTTTGCATAAGGGAAAGACTGATCATGCTTTTCTGTAGAAGCTGGTGTCTGGGATCATGGTATTGATATTGGAATAATGGAGTCCACCAACATATCAGAGGATTGACTGACATTTACGGGAGGTGTCGTGTCCGGCGGCCGGTCTGAAGGGAAGAGAGACGGTGCCGGAGAAGGAGTTACGATGAGACTAGTTGAAAGCATTTTTCTTTATGGGTGATGGAGGAGTTCCAAGTGATTCGAATATTAGACCTTCATATTTAATACCCTTGATTATTTTATTAAACCAAGTCCTTGTTAGCCCAAGACTATTTTCTTGTCGAGCTGGTGGGAGTAAGAGGTGTATGTTAGTGGTGTGTGGAGCTTGGTTGGAGAAGGTGGTGGTGGAAGGTGATGAGAAGTCTATCATCGGTAAGGTTGTTGGTTATAACTCTTGGGATAATGTCACGGACCTAAATCTCGACCGTGTGGCCATAGCCCTCAAGTCCGTAAGAGATGATAAGTTCGCCTTCTCACTCACTCAACTCAAAAGAAGAAGACACAAGAAGATGGGAGAAACTCTGTAGAGTGTATTGCTCACAAAAATGATGGATGATTACAATTGAAGAGGAGGTCCTCCTTATGTAGGCTATTCCTTTTACAAGGTGTAAATACCCCTCAAATGTTATCCCTCATTATTACATCCTATTAAGTCTCCCTCATAATTCACACTATTATATCTCCTCATAATATGCTTCTTTATGTGCACCATAAGCCGACACCTGAATTTCGTCACCACTTTCAGTCCACTGTATTTTGGGTCAGTCGCATCTTCTTCTTTGATGCTCGACAGAACTATCCGAATATGTATCCTATCTCAAACAATTTCTTACAAGGATCTCGTCGCATTGCCTGATAACTCCACATTGAAGACTCTGCTTCCAGGTTTGAATCTCGAGTTACAAAAGACTGGTAATTTCACTACATTGAATGTCACGGCGACGAGATTAAGAGTTAACGGATGTTTACACCTAAAAATACCACGAAACAAAGGAGTTGACATTGTGACACCTGGGACATTATCGTCTGGTAAGTATGTAGTCTATGGGAAATCTTGAGTTCTGGATATAACTTAAGTGTCTAAGAAGTTGTTTTCCGTCGAGGAAACTCTTGTGTTTGATATTCAATCAATGCACCTTTGACTTCTTGAACAACGACAATAACACGATTCATGCCTCTTCGAACAATGTTTGAATGAGTTTTGATGTTTTTAATGGTTTTTTTTTTTGGGAACAAGCTAAGTGTTGTTACTCTAGTCCTAAGGAGGTTTAGTGAGAGCTCCAAAAACTAAAGGCTATGACTATGGCTACATTGCAGAGAAAAAGATAAAGTTTTACTTGTCTTGTCTAATGTTTGGTTGTGGAACCCTTTTGCAGTCTCACTTTTCCTATTTGTAGCCATAAGGTGTAACCGCCTCTTTATAACCGCTGCTCCACTACTTGATGATTAATGTAGCTTGCTTAACGCCTTAACCGTCTTGCTTGCATGCATACTACTTGGTACCTTGATATCTTGACGGCTTCACTTGGCAGGTAGCTACCTTATGCTGTAAAGGTATCTCGCTTGGCTTCATCTTGACAATTGATGCCTTAGTGATACTCATGTTGACCACCCTTGCATGACATCATGCTCGACACTAGGGTGCTTGGGGAGTTGATGGATTCACATCGACCTCCTTGGGGTGACATCATGCTTGTAAGGTCTTGACAAGGTGGTCTACCATGTGATGATATACATGGATGACATTTAGAAACTTAATGATCTTGTCTTCTAGGTACCATGCATGACTGCTTATGAGGTCTGGCATGCCTGACTACGTGAGATGATGGTACGTTGTACCTACCCGCTTCACATGACATCATGATTGGCACTCTGGTTCTTAGTAGGCAGACAGTGTGGAGAAGGTTCTATACTTAGTCAATTTCCACTCCATCTAAATGTACTAAGGGTACACGGATGATGTCATAATTGACACCCTAGTATCTGGTATATGGGTGACACACATACTTGCCTTCTGGGTACTTGGGTGGTTGATTCTTGATAGATGGGTACTTGGGATACACATGTTGACCCCCCCCCCCCCCCCCCGGCATGATCTCATGCTTGACACCCTACTGGTGCTGGTGGGTGGCTAGGTGCTTGACTATTGGGTAGGTGAGTGATGAGATCTCAGAACTTAGCCAAATCTTTCCTCCACCACGTCAAGGGGTACTCGTGATGGCCCTCCTTCAACAACATCATGCTTGAGATTAACACGCTAGTATATGGTAGGTAGGTGGCATGGTACCTAGTGTTTGACCCCCATTGCATGACATCATGCTAGATAGGTGAGTGGTGAGACCCTTTCATGATTGACACCCTAATGACTAAATCTCAACACTTAGCCAAATTTCTCCTCCACCATGCCTACTTGGGTGGTCGACGTTGAAGGGTGTAAAGATCTCGTGCATGACATTTGACCCCCTTAGATGATGTCTTGTTTGAAGGGTGGTGCTTGGTGGGTTGAAGGGTATGCGACTAGGCATTGCCAGCATCAACCTTTCTTTGATGATGTAATGTTTGACGCCCTTATACATGGTAGGTGGGCGACCAACATACTTGAAAATTGAGTATATATCCTGCTTGGTAGATGGGTGCTTTGGTAGTTGGTGTCGAGGTGGTGGGCACCGAGGTACCATGCATAAAGACATGGATAGCCCAAATTCTATCATTTAAGCCCAACTTAAAAATCAATTTAATTAATATAGTTGAGTTAGCCTTATAAATCACTACCACTCCTTGAAAATAATCAATATGGTTAAATTATAAGTTGAGTTAGCCTTATAATTAAATACGCGACTTTTTATAGTACAGTGCTACGTAAATATTTCTTAATGTGCGGTCTAATAATAAAATCAAATTATAAAAAGTATCGCATTTTTTAGACCACTACGTAAAAGACACCTTTATGTGTAATTCCTCATATGTTACGTGACTTTTTATAGCACCGTGTTACGCAAATATTCCGTAATGTGCGGTCTAATAATAAAATCAAATTATAAAACGTATCACATTTTGTTAGACCACTACGTAGAAGCGCCCTTTATGTGTAACTCTTCATATGTTACATGGCTTTTTATAGCACGGTGTTACGTAACTATTTCATAATGTGCGGTCTAATAATAAAATCAAATTATAAAAGTATCGCATTTTGTTAGACCACTACGTAGAAGACACCATTATGTGTAATTCCTCATATGTTACGTGACTTTTTATAGCACAGTGTTACGTAAATATTTTCTAATTTGCGTCTAATAATAAAATCAAATTATAAAAAGTATCGCATTTTGTTAGACCACTACATATAAGACCTCTTTATGTGTAACTTTTCATATAAGACGTGACTTTTTATAACACGGTGATTCGTAAATATTTTGTAATGTGCGGTCTAATAATGAAATCAAATTATAAAAGTATAGCATTTTGTTAGACCACTATGTAGAAGAGCCCTTTATGTGTAATTTCTCATATGTTTGTGCATGCTACCCCGTAGCTAATAATTTGGATTAAAAAAACTACAATAAATGTAATGAACAATGTTTGGCGAAAGAATTGAGGGGTGGGAGTTTTTTTCGTAAGGAACAGTAACATTGACTTGTGCTTTTAATTGATTAAATTAAATTGATGTTGCTTGTCAATATTTCACAAACTCTCTCATAGTCATTTACAATGATAGTGAATAATATAGTCTACTTATATAGCATGGCCTAGTGAAATCAAGAGATGTAGTAGTTCTTCAATCTACGTTGGTCAAATATTTCCATTTGGCCATAAATAGTTACATCGAGTGACAGAATAACCATTACATTTGCCCTCAACCTACGACAAAAGAATCGGGGGGATAATCATCCAAAAATCTCCAGCCAAAAAATGAGTGCGAACTATATATATACATCATCTTCCTTCTAGCTCGGTTGTGGTTTCCATAGTTCCAAAGCTAGTAGAAGAAGCCGTGCCGGTGCCAGTGGCGGAGGAACTCGCATGGTGCCGGGCCGAAAAGGCAGGCTCTTTGGGACGAGGAAGGCTGGCCGTGTCGCTGCCGAGCATGAACAGAACGTTCGCCATGGTGGGTCGATCGTTGGGGTCTTCCTGTACGCACAGCAGCGCCACCGTCACGCACCTCAGGAACTCGCTCCCGTTGCAGGTTTCTGACAACGAAACGTCCATCACTTCCATTGCCTTCTCTTCCCTCCAGCATCCCCACGCCTGAAATACATCGTCAATTCGTCATCATCATGCATTCTCAGAAAAACATTTTCTGAGAATTGGTATATGCAGGAACATTTTCAGAAAAACACAACTTACGTATCCCATGAGGGAGAGTGCTTTGTCGGAGTTGTAAAAGCCACTGTTCCTTTTCCCGCAGAGAATCTCAAGAACGACCACCCCGAAGCTGAAAACATCCGATTTCGTGGAGAAGCACCCATCTAATGCGTACTCCGGAGACATGTAGCCGCTTTTATAACAAAGAGATGGCATGATTATTAGTTAGTTCCATTAAAATTGGAAACCGTGACGGTTGAACAACAACAACAACAATCGGATGCCTTACTTACTAGGTTCCAACAACTCGTACGGTGTTGACCTCTGTTTGTTTCTCCGCCACTATCCTTGCCATACCAAAATCAGAGATTTTGGGGTTCATTTCGTCGTCAAGGAGAACATTGCTCGTCTTCATGTCTCTGTGGATAATCGTCAGCCTTGAATCATGATGAAGGTAAAGCAGCCCTCTAGCGATCCCCATTATGATGTTAAATCGCATCTCCCAGTTCAAAAGCTTGCATCGCTCTCGATCTAAACAACAAACCAAGTGAATGGTTAGCAAGTGTAGATTAATTTTCCATGAAACAAAACAATTATTGCTGACTACTAACCAAAGATGAAGAAATCCAAGCTCTTGTTGGGCATGTATTCGTACAGCAAAATCTTTTCATTTCCTTCGACGCAATATCCCAAAAGCCTTACTAGATTCCTATGCTGCAGCTTTGCAATCAACAGGACCTCGTTCTTGAACTCTTCAAGCCCTTGTGCTGAAGCACTCGAAAGCCTTTTCACTGCAATTTCTTGACCTCCCGGAAATTTCCCCTGATTGAATTTACAGATATGTAACAAAGGGTCGTTTTACTTGGAATTCTTTCCATCTGGGATTTAGGATGTGTGACTGATAAAGTGACTATTTCTTACCTTGTAAACAGGACCAAAGCCGCCTTGCCCAAGCTTATTGCTATTAGAGAAGAAATCTGTAGCAGCTAATATGCAGTCCAATTCAAAGAATGGCACGTCTATGTCTTTCTTGTCATCTTCCCCAAACTGGCCAGAGTTCATGAACTCTTTCACTCGCTTCTCGCTGTCATATAGTCTGAATGCCAGATTCTCATCTTTCCCATCTTTGCTTCCTATCAAATTAAACAAACTAATTAACTGGCCAATCGCTTCCTGAAAAGTTCAACAACCAAATTCCTCTGCCTGATTTGATTGCATACCTCTTCCGGTAGCCTTTCTTCTCCTTCTCTTCATGTACAGTACTACAATTGCACAGCCAAGGAGAAGAACACCTCCAAGAATACCAAATATGATGGGATATAATTGTCTCTTCTTCTCTAGTGAAGAAGTGAAAGATCTGATACCAACATCTGTGTTTCCCAAAAACAAACAAAATCAGTATATAAGTGATTTATAATCGGCATGATCAATGTGGGACACAGCTATGAAACTTACTTTGGCTGCAAGTAGCATTACTTCCATCCCAGTGCCAACTTCCATTGCAGAGGCACCTCTTACCATCTCCACCTTCACCGCAACTCGAATTCGGCCAATCACTGCAGTCGTCTTCAACCCCACAAAGTGGCTCAGAGGGCAACTCCCACGAGATCCCAATTTCGTTCAACACTTTATCTCCCCTGAATCGCCCCAAACTCAGATTCCCTGTATCAGCATTACAATCATCATCGACTATAAACGGCAGCGTTTGATCCAATTCAACATCCTTCGAATCACTGCTTTCCCCACCACAATACTCATCCCCAACTTGAATGTAGAATTTGTTCGCCTGTTTGTCAATTCTGGTCACAGTGTAGCTGCCGCTGAGTGCCACAAAGCTAAGCAAGCCAGTTTTGTTGCTACATGCGAAGCTCGAGTACAATGGATCCCCACAGTTCGGCCCGGTGCCTAGTGGGTAAGGCACGATGATAGTACCGCACGGCTTGCAATCCTTCTTCGTCAATTCGATGTCCGAAATCGAGACCCGAAGATTGAGACCGAGGACTGGACCAGCAACTTGAATCTCCTCGATGTCTTTCAGATCATCGAGCCAAATTCTGCACTCTGTTTCGTGCTTCTCAGCTTCATTGAGCGCATACGCCTGGCAATTACATTTCTCACGGCACCAACCTCTGCACTCTTCTTCCTCTGAGAACTCCTTGCTCACCGCCGTAGGTTTCTGCGCCGTCGCTACTTTCAGGTTGAGGAAAGTTTCCTTCTTGTGGCACTGTTGTTGGGTAATCCTTGCGCAGCCTTCAGAGAAATCCCCTGAGTTCCAATTCTCTGGCGATTTCGGGAGGAACCCAGGAAGACAGTTGCAAGGCAGGCGGTAATCGCTGTTGCAGCTGCCGAAGCTGCCGCACGCTGACAGCTGGCTGCAGAAGTCGCTGGGCTCGGCCCAGGACGGTGACGTATCGTTTGCCGCCTGGGGAAAAAACTGAATCCTGCCGTCGATAGCCATCACGAATCTGGAGTTGGAATACTCTGTTTTCCCTCTCCGCCCATGTGTGATGTTGTAGGTGTAATTGGGATACTCGATGGAGTAATCGGTCAGGATAAAGGAGACGAAACCGGAAACCTGGGATTTCCAGAAAGGGATGGAATTGTTCAGAATCATGAACTGGTCATTTTTCCCCAGCGATTCTTGATCCAGTTGGAATACATAATTTCCAGGCGACGGGTCTTGTGGAGTACTCCAGGAAGTTAAGTTGAGGTTGGGAACCATCTTCATTCCTGGGAGAAACGTGTCAGTCGGATGGTCGAAGCTCTGCCAGAGCGTGGTCGTGTTTTCTCCGGTGAGTATCAAATTTCCAGAATCCATAAGCTTCAGGCTGTAAATGGAATTTTCTGAAGAGGGTATTGATTGTTGGAGACCAGTTGACCAGTAAGAGTCGTTCCTTCCGTCAAAGAGTTGGAGGTTTCCGTCGGTGGTGAAACAGAGGAACCCGGTGGAGTCTTGTAGTCCGAATTCACGATTAGCCACCCAAACGACGGTCGACGGCCGATTCCGGTACCATATTCCGAGATAACGAAACTCACTTCCGTTTGGAGTGAAGAAACCCAGCTGGAAAGCTTCCGTCGCAGAAACAAGAGTTCCTCCTCCGCCGCTGCTATCCCTGACTAGAACGGCGGAAGAAGTGGCGCTGAAAGTTACAGAGTCTGGAGCTGACAAAACAGGGGAAGAGAGGCAGAGGAAAAACAGAGGTCGTAGCAGTAGAACTACCATTGGAGCGAGAAATGTGGAGATCTTGGACTCCATGGATTGATTTTCTCTGTTGCAATGATTCAAGATTGATTTCCTATTTTTCCCTACTTCTTCATGAGCCAAGACCTGCTCGTTGACCAAAGACTTAATCTTTCCAATTGCTGTTGTTGTTGTTGTTGCTGCAGCCAGCTTCAATAGCAGCTTGACTCCACACCACGCGTTCCATGTCGCAATCGCAATTCAGAAGCGCGATTAGCTGGTTCGCATCAACAGAAGAGCAGAAAATAGTTTAGTTGCTAGTTTACTGTAGGGTTCTATACCAAGAAAACCCGGGCCGTGTTAGTTGACTGACTAACTTACGGTCTACAGACGGGAAGTGAAAACGAAAGCTCATTATTATTTTACTTGGTAATGTAGTGATATAATAATCACTCTGCAGCCTGCACCATAAGTTTAATACTTTGGAAGCACTGATTGAGTTTTGTGGGAGCAAAAGTGTGGATCGCTGGCTTCAAATCCTCTCTTCTGCAATGGATATCGACAAAGGAAGAGCAGACAAGAAGGTAGTTTTCCAAGTCAAATAATGTTTTGTAGTGTACTAGTTTTCGGTCCTGCATGGCCTTCTTTCCATGTGGTTCTCCTTCTCATGATAAAAGAATACTCAAAGAGTGGGTGGGAGTGTGAGAGTGACCACCAGTTGAAAACGAAGCCCTAAATTGGTTTCATACATGGCGTGGAAATGTGATGCATTTTGTGGAAGAGATTTTGTCATCTTAAAACGGACTGATATAGTGATTAAGCTTAGTTTTAGTATCAAAACTTCATGTGTTCCCACTGAAAACGAGATTTATCCTTGTTCTATCATGACCCAACACAAGCATATGATATGGGATGTGTCAATGCACTGATGCAGGATGGAAATTCCATTTGTATACAAGAGCCGCAAGGGACAAGGTACGCGGCGTAAGATGCTAATTATGGTGCACTCCATATCTGGAGATGTTACTTGTTAGGATTGAGTTGCATAGTGAGGACCGGCAATCTCGCAATGAGCTAACCACATTCATATATCTGGAGATTTTCATGATTTATATATTGATGAGTAGTGCCGAATATCACAATTAAACTCTCAATTAAACTTTCAATTAATATTCAAGTATAAACCTCAATTGGGTGCAATATAGGGCAACTATGTTTAAATGTCTACCCGGGTCGGTTCATGTACCCCTACTTCGATTGTTTTGTAACATTATCTAGCAATTGGTTTTTTCGTTGAAAACAACGATCTATATCTAAGATATTTGAAAAAAATAAATGGATTTTATACTAAATGAGAAGGCTTCACCCGGGTGTTGCTCTCCCTAGCTAGCAATTATGACTTGACGGATCGAATGGACGCGTGTGGCAAGGTGGTTGTAAACCATAGGGAAGTGCAACAAGTAGCCAAACGCCACTCTCTCGGTCTCTAGGTCAAGGGAATTCGATTCAAGCCACCAAAGTAGCTGTCTTGACCTATTGACTAAAGGTTGTCAAGACTTCAGCCTCGAATCAGAGTTCAGACGGCCAAATTACAACCAACCCTAGGTGCTATTAAGAACAAATAGGGTTGGTCTACATTAACCTAGATAGGAGACAGGATTTTCCTAAGAAAACACAACTTTACTAGCCTCTTTCAAAGAAAGAGAGTTTTCTCTCTACCTAGGTTAGAATGGTAAATAGATTGATAGGCAAACACACAACACAATCTTTCATGAAAATACCTCCAAATTCACATTAAGACACATCCACACACAAATCATTCATTCCATACAAACATTCATGTAATTGTAGCTAGGTTTTACAAACAGTCAAGTGAAATAAGGGACTATTTCATGCTAGGAGAAGGGAAAATACAAGAGAGAAGAGGGAAACCCATCATGGAGATGCTAGCCAAGCTCCTTGTGTTGAAGAGATCCTCCTTTGGGACAGGAATTCCCAAATCCTTGCTTGAAGATGAAACCCTAGCTTCTTCTCTTCTTTGGTTCCTCACTTTCTCACTCTACAAATATGAAGAAGAAGAAGCTTCTCACACTACGTCTCTCCCCTTTTCTCCTTCAGCTCAAGACTCCTTTTATACCCAAATCGGGCTCAGATCACGGTCCCAATTCACGATCGTGAACTGAAAGCACGGACCGTGATCTAAAGTCCAAACGAGTTGCATCACTTAGTCGAGTTCACGGCCAATGGTTTCAGTTCACGGTCTTACAACCTTGAACTTATTTAAGTCTAGTGAAAGTGAAAATGTCCCTGGAGTCCTTGGTGGTCACAGCTTGCGGCTCCAGTTAATGGTCGTCATGACCGTGAACTAATGGCTTCCACCGTGATATGCAGCTGCCGCCGTCCTTTGACCCGATTTCTCGCCTTTTCGTCCAATTTTCGACTCCAGGGTTGGTACCACCTGCTATATATTGAAATGCACAAAATCGAGACAAACCCCAGCGTAAAACCAAACCTCACAAAGTAAAAATGCCTTAAACAATTAAAAAAACTGGGATAAAAAAATGTACAATTGAGTCCGAATCAATTGTCTTTGTCACAAGTCATAACTAATCAAACTCCTTTTTAATAAATGAACAAAACTAAGACTAAAAGTCTTATTCGGTGTTGATTGATTGATTCAGCTGGTTTCTATTTGATTAATTAAGGGGAGAAGGACCAAACCTTGGGATGGTGGCATGGTTAAACAATAATATAAAGCAATCCATTTAAGAGTGTACTAATAATATTCTTTTTTTGGCAAACAAGAGCTTGGTCACTTGATGACTTGATATATACACATGTTTTTGTCCACCATTCTTATACCGTTTGAGTCTTATTTCTCGTGTTTTAGGCCGATTTCACGCTAGGTTGTTCTTGTTTATGATATTTCAGGTCCTAGTACGTGAATGAAGGTTTGGGAACGAGTTCGGGGTCGATTGGACAAAGATTGGACGTTTGGCGAGAAGCTGAGGAAGCCACACGAGCACGCCTAAAAACCCACACGGTCGTGTGACCTGGCCGTGTGGCACCAAATTGCACGGGCAAGCCACAGTGGCCGTTTAAGGGACCCCTTGTGGCCGTGTGGAAAGTCCATGGAGATCACACGGGCAGCCTGGGAATCCACACTGGCGTGTGGTTTTGGCCGTGTAGCGTACCCGGAGCCACTTAAGTGAAACGCGGCATTTTGCACACTCACACGGGCAGCTGGGAAAGTCACACGGCCGTGTGGTCGGAGTTTCTGGGTTTTAACCCAATTTCGAGCCAAATGAGAGGGAATCGACTTTTTGGAGCAAAAACAGAGCCCTAGAGAGTGAAAGTGCGAAGAACACCCACTAAGAGTGGTTTTGGAGCTGGGTTTCATCAATCAAGCTTGGAAATCATCCTTGGAGTGATCTGAAGATCATCATCCCAGAGCAGATTCTTCCAATTGTTATGAGTATGACTGCTTTGTATTCTGTTTTCCTCCCTCTCTCTATGGAGTAGAACTTTCTCTCACTTGGGTATGAAGAACCCTAGTTCCATGTTTTAGGGATCTTGATTGTAATGACTTGGGATTGTTATACTGTTTGGTTTTAATCGAAAGATGCATGATTCATTGAATCAATGGAAGTCTGATCATCTTTCCTTGATTTCTGCTGCAACCTGAGATAGATAGAATCTGATTAGGTTGTTAGAGCTTCATCATTCGGTAGTGGTAGATTGGTTATACGAGAGTTAATAAATCTACTGCTTTGTACTGGAACTCAATTCCATTAGTGGAGTTCTGTGCTTATTGCCTAAGCAGTCTATCCCGGTGAAGGTTAGTCGCCTGCCGGTTAGCCTGCCTGAGAGGGTTTGGTCAGCTTAAGAGATTCCAAGCGACTGTCGGATCTTCCGCAGTTTAATCAATAGTAAATCAACCCAGGGTAATTACAATTTATACCTAACTAAGGAGCTAGGGGGGCTCATTCCCGAGTGACTCTTCCTTTGCTTTAGAAAACCGAACCATTTCCTGCTTTCTTACTGCTTTTAGCAAATTACCCACTTTGCTCAGGATGAAGATGAGACCATCTGGGATGCTTGGGAGAGATACACCAGTCTCTCCCTCAAGTATCCCAACCATGGTTTTACTGACGCCTTCAAGGTGGGCACCTTCTACCATGCCCTCTTCCCGGAAGACAAGCAGTTGATTGACTCGGTCTGTGGCGGGAATATGCTCACCAAAACACCGTCACAGCTGAATCAACTTTTTGAAGAGATGACAGAGCAGGGCTATGATTGGGGAACTTCGAGGAGATCGAGGCGAGCACCAGGGCGGGGTGTGCATGCTGTAGCCACCTAGTCATCTGATTTGGTGCAGGTGGTATCGAAACTGGTCTCAGCCATCGATCGCTCTGAGATGATTCCAGGGACTGGACAGCAGCAGGCGATGCACTACAGTGGTGCGAGAGCACCCATCACACTGTGGAAGACTGCCAGGCGATGAGGCATTCGACTACACCCCAGGAGCAGGTGAACTTCATCAACAATGTTAGGCGCAATGACCCCTATAGTAACACGTACAACGAGGGGTGGCGCCAGCACCCCAACTTCTCCTGGGCTGGGGCCAATCCTAGATCACCAGCCTCCCAAAGACCGCCAGGCTTCCAGAGGCAGCCATATCAGCCCATACAGGGGCAATTCCAGCAACAGCAGCAGCCTCTCTACCAGCCCATGCAAGGGCATGCTTCTCAACCACAGCCGCGACCCTTTCAGCAGGCAGGAATAGGGGTAAAAACATGTGCAATTAACGGTTTATCAAACTCCCCCACACTTAAGCGTTTGCTTGACCCCAAGCAAACCAAGTCAGACACAAGGTAAGCTCACACATTTCAATCATACCAACATTGGGGACAAATCATATAGGCACTGAAACACGTGAATCATACTGGCTTTCAAACATCAACACATGAACAACTTCAATAGCAACCTGGACAACCACCACAGAAGACATTTGAGTGCAGCAAAATCGAATAAAGGAGGAGTCTCCCTTCTGTTCATCAACCAACATAGACTTGACTCAACCACTTACTCAAGACAGTCAACTCATGCATAAAACTCAAGACATCATAATCAAGACCGAGCCATCTAGGTCCTCACCAGGGTAAAGAGTGTAAAGAACAAGGAAATGAATCACTCACTCTAGACCAGTGGGGTCAGGCAAATTTGATGCGAAAAATGCGCATACTTATTCTCTCAATCCCTAACATCTCTTCACCATGAGGGCAACCTCTAAGTGTTAGAGTTCACA